CTGATTTGCTGTGCTTCCTGTTTCCAAAGTTGACTCGAGTCGCACTATAATAAATGCATTGGATCCGGTGACAGCTTCGACTCAAACACAGCACGAGACTCGACAAACATGGTAAGTCAATATTAATCTCCTGGGGTCTTGATTGCCGTGTTGTAATGCTCAGCAGCTTCGATAAGGAGAGAGAGAAGAGAGAGGAAACTTTGCATAGGCAGGAATGCTTTTTAAAAATACACCATGCCCTTTCATAATCTGTTGGAAGAGTCCCATATGGTAGCAGTGGGACACGGTATCTGGATTCAATTTTTTTTTTTTTATGTAACCAGTGTGAGTTTGGCGTCAGGTAGTAAATGAATACGCATGCATTAAAAAAAAAAAAAAAAAGTTATTAAATACATGATTATCTTCACAGTGTTGATATGGGGTAGCTAGGTTAATGCAAAGAGGTGAGTCTACTCTGGCTGAGGTATGTATTTAACAGTAGCACTAAGTGCGAAAGGAAAGATGAGTGTAAATAAAATTAATAAAATAAATGTAAAAGATTATGTCATCTGGATTCAGTTCTAAGTCATGAGTAAAGAATGACAGCATGGCATACATCCCAGTAACCTTCATGCGGGCTCTTCTTAAATATGAATGAACTTTATTATGTGTTAGTGAAAACACAATATTGTTATTATTAGCTGACAGCATAGCAGTTGTTGTCACTTTTCAAATAAGACAGAGTGCCATGCTAAACTATAATGAGCATGCTAGTGGGTGTGGTTTCCCAGAATAATGCCAGGTACATTAATGCAGGCAGGAGGGAGAAGGGAATGAGGGAAGGAAGGAAGCAAGGAGGGGTACTGGTATGGGCAGCAGTTCCTGTGTTAAGACGTTGCAGGCTGAATTTTAGACTATTGTTCAACCACTATGGTGGGCCAAAAATGAGATAACTGGGCTTTCTGGGCATCCATTAATGAGTTTCCACCTGTCATTGATATAAAGTTTACTCTTCTTAGCCTACAACTCGCAGACAGTATACATACATCATGTTTCAACAGGAAATAACAGTAAATTATGAACCAAATCAAGATGCTGAGAATGTACTTGTTTTGTTCTGTCTGTGGGTTTCCTGTTCCTGTCAACTTTTGAGATGGTGGCTTCCTCTCATGGCTCAGAGGGCAAAAGTGAAGGAGTCAGGATACAAATTGCTTTAAGGTCAAACTGCTCTCTAAATATCCTGCTCCAGGGTTTTTATCTTAGCGACCACTAGCAACCCGTTTTGTTGCTGTTTTGCTCATTTACTGACCCTTGGGAGCTGCATTTTTCTTCCGAGCAGGCATTAAGGATAGTGTAAACAGCTGCTAGACTGAGTTCTTCCTGATCTGAGGAAAGCTGTCCTACTTAATTTTATTACTTTCATGTCTCATAACTTATTTCTCTTTTCACCTAAGCTTTATGTTTCAGCACTGAGGAAATTATACTTTGAATAAAAATGTTGTTATATTATATATGCTTTAATATGAACTGCTATAAAGTTACAATACACTCTCAGTCTACTTGAAAAACATGTCACAGCAGGATGACTGTAGTGCAGTGTTTATAAAACAGCATGCCGATCTTATCTGTATTATCAGACATAGGTTGAATTGTTTCAGTTGGCAGCCTGTCTAGACAATAAGCTGTAAGATTTTCATTTTAAATATGAATGAATTACTAGATTTAAGAATGTAACTTCAGAACTTGTGCTCTGTGGAGAAGTACAAAAGCTCTTAAAGAAAGACTGTGCGGGACTCACAAGAAATGGTTTTAAATCCAAAGAAGCTATCCAGACTTTTAGTCCCTAATATGGATCAAGCTCCAAAAACAGTGGATCCTAGGTATTTCTTGGCATGCTAACTGCTAAATGCTAAACAGATGCTCTGTTTATCCCAAACCATAAAATACATCACATCCTGTGTACCTGAAGATTTCCCTCAAGAAACAATTATTACTATTTTCCATCTTTGTTTCACTATAGGAAAGTTCACACACACACACACACATACATACACACACACACACACACACACACACACACACACACACACACATTCCTGCAAAAAGTCCCAAAGACTGGATTAACCCACATGATGTCTCACTCTTTAACCATGTTGTGCGTGTTGATTGGACAGGAGAATGGGAAGAGCCGCCTGCAGCAGGCCCAGGAGGACGTTGAGGAGGTCAAGGTCATCATGCTGGACAACCTGAACAAGGCTGATGACAAAACTGTTAAACTTGGCGACCTGGAGAACAGGGCTGAAGAGCTGCTGGAAAAGGTAAACAAGAGAAGCTGTCCAAGTGGAAAAACATCATTACTTAGTGTTACACCACACTATTTTAACTAAGAGGTCTCTGTGGAAGTCTCTGGATTGCATGGATAAGGTGAATGCCTGAAGCGAGGCGTCTAGTGATTAAAACTAGGAAATGTCATATTGATGTCTATAAATACACCTTAGGTGGAGCTGGAGAGGAAAACAAATGTACAATTTACATCCTGATTCTTTTTTATGGTGCTATTTTTAGAGAGGTATTTCCTATTGTTTCCTAAGATGAATGAAGGAGCTGGTCTCCCTGGGTACGAAAGAGTGTGTCCAGGACATGCCATGAGGCGAATGTCCGTCCGGGGGTCAACAAGCTGGTCACATCATTCCCACATTGCCCCATTGGCCTGTGTTTTATCACAGTGTTTTCAGAGAATTAAAAAAGCAAACATGTAACATGGGCCAATGGGGAAAAAGGGGGAGTCAGGAGATAAATCTTTGTGGGTCAGTGCCCCCCTTTCACATCACATGTAATTAGTTGATCCATTGTTGATGTAAAAATATTGATTACTGTCAAACGGTGTCATATCCTTGAGAACTTCTATGAGCACTGAACTTCCATCACGAAGTGTATCCCTATGGGGTTCCACGGCTAAAATCTCATCAGGCTGTTTGCTTTTTTAGTCCTCTGAGAAATGCTATGTTAAAAATGTAACGCAGACCAACAAGGCAACCATGAACCATAGTATTTTATTATATATATTTTAATTTAGCCATTTTAACTAAGAGAAGCAAGGTGAGTTTTCTGGATTGTATATGTTTTTTTAGAAGACTTTGGAAGTTCTATAGAAGTCAGTATGCCGGTTTTGGGCTAATAAACCTGTCTCTACCTCTGCATATGCTCCATTTGAAAGCAGTTTAGTTACACAACAACACAATGTAACATCCTCTGTCTTTCTGTGTATTTTTCCGCAGAGTAAATCTTTTGAGAAGACATCCAACCAGGTGAAGCAAAAGAAAAGATGGGAGAACAAGAAGATGAAAGTGGTCTTTATTGGCATTGGAGTGGTAGCGGCACTCATCATTATCGTACTTATAATCATTGCTATTATTAATAGCACAGGATCACAGTAGCTGGTTTGCTGATGAATGGAAAATAAGATATTGGGACTGAGGGCCATGACGATGACAGGTCCAGGAAAGGAGGAATGGGACTCTAGATTCCCGCCTGAACTGCTCAGTGTGTGATATTTCTGTTTAAAAATATTTATGGGACTGTCAGTCCCACTCTTCATTGGTGTAAGTCTTCAGGTGATATGGTACCATTGATTGCTCAGCTGCTTCGCTGTGTTTTTTTTATAACTTTTCAAAGGTCATGTCTCTGTTGGCCAGCTGGGGCTTTTCTGTGTGGAGTTTGCAAGTTCTCCCCGTGTCTGTGCAGGTTAGGTCAGCGACTCTAAATTGCCCATAGGTGTGAATATGAGCGTGAGTGGTTGTCTGTCTCTATGTGTCAGCCCTGCGATAAGGATAAGCGGGTATAGCTAACAGATGGATGGATGGAAGACGGGCCCACATTGGAAGGACACACAAATCTTCAAGAAGATTTATTAAACTCTTACTTAAAAGGTGCCCGGGCACCATCCCAACACTTTAAGCAGAACTATGAACTACTGATATTTTTAACCAAACTCCTTTTGTGCTATAAATTTGCTTGTACATAGTGGTTCAGGTTCAAGAGCACCACTAAGAGGAACAGAAAATTGTCACAGCACACTGAACTGAAGACAGAATCCATTTCACAGACCATTCAATCGATGATTTGGGGAGAGTCAACTGTCCGTGCAAGAAGACAGAGGAGAAACAGAACAGATGTTAACTTTTGTGAATATATGCCGCTTCAGATAGCTTCAGATTGGGAAGAATGTACTAATGTATTGTCACAAACATTTGTTTAAAATGAAATGCACCTGAAGTTGTATCATTAAAATGTGTTTGGATGTGCAAAAGACTCACTCACTTTATTTTGTTGTCGAGACTAAGGCTTCTTTAAAATGTCTCTTGCTGGCATATTTGTTGGTCGGAATTTAAAATTTATTGAAGTTTGAAGAAAACAGATTGTATGTCTAAAGAGTATCTTTTTATCTACCTTTACTATAACGTGTATAAGATGTGCCGAGAAAACAGATTCATTTTTTTCATACTTTGCTTATGTTTTGTGTTATTTTGGTGAAATGACCCGTCTAAAATCAAATCTAAAACACAATGCACAAACTTTGGGTCAATACAAACCAACAGCCAAGCCACTGGTAAATTTTTAATTTCACATATAGCTATAATTCCCATGGAACCAGTAGTTAGAGCCTAAAGTTTGAGCCTGGAACCGTCAATAGTTAATGATTATGTTTGTATTGAATTGCAGCTAATCTGCAGAATGAACAATGACCCCTGCTGGCCAATGTCCTTACTTGACTTTTATTGAACCATTTATCCAGGCATTATATTCGTCAACCAAGGACAATTACTGTTAATGATGAAAAATGTATCTGAATCAATATATTTTAAGGGTGCTTTGCAAAATGAGATGCAGGTGGTCTGTTAATACAATAAACACATTTACCATTATTTTCATAACCAGCCTCAGTGCTGTTGGTGAATCTAACCATGTGAATCTCTACAGATAACCAGAAGACAGTGCAGTGAACATGTAGACACATACCATTAGTAAGTAAGTAGAGTTATTTTAATGCAGCACCTTTCAAGGTAACAAAGTTTTTTACAATTGTAAAATCACAATAGTGATAAATAAAAATAAAGGAACAACAATAAAATATTAGCAATAACTGTACATAAACATTTCCCGGAAAAGACAATTTTGGTTTAGATAAGTGCAGGGGACTGCAACTAACATGTCTACTGAGTCACCCAGATTGAGGTATGGTAATGTGTCACTTTCACACTCCAGATGACGGTGTTTCCAGTGGAAGTTCACTGTTCTACAGCTGACATGTTGAAGACTGAAATCATTTTACAGTCCCTATGGAGATAAGAGGTGTCTGTGTTTATGATGTGTTGGTAAGACAGTGTGCAGTTTACAGTCTGATATGTATCTACAATAAAACAGTTTGTTCCATGTTTTGTAATGTTGAAACAGTATGAAGTAGCCTACAGGTGGTGGGCCAAAACTGGCTAAATTAAAGAGATAGTTCACCCAAATTACAAAAAAAACATATTTTCTCACTTACGTCTGGTGGTTTCTATGCAGTTTGGAATTTGTTTGTCCCAGATTTGGAGATGTCTGCTGCAAAGTTTCACAAAGCTCAACTTCAACAGCTTTTCATGGAACAAGTTTAAACAATAATGGTTTGAAGATGAATTTAGGCTACACAACACAACAAACCCATAAAAAATATGCTTTTAAGGATACCTTTGTGGAACAGAGTGATAGGCCAGTATGTACAGAAATACCAAGTAGGCTATCTTATCAAACCTGTTTTGCGATACCAATGCAGTTCCCTGCAGCAAACCCTTACCCTCAGTAACCTACCATAACTATTAGTGAAAACAAACAAAAAACGATTTTGAACATCTACAAAAACAGAGAAAGTAATGTCTTGAAGTTGAAAGAACTATTACTGTTATCTAATTTTAAATGCATGCAAATGTAATGTGCGTGTCCCTGTTTCCTCAAATCAGCTATTTCAATCTGCATGTTTGACATTTACACAGGTTAATGATATATATTTGCACATGTGCTCCTTTTTATTTTAATTTTTTCATGTTTCTATTTGTATCAATTGTTTATTTTAATATATTATATAAAGATATATAATAAATATTTAGAAAATAATGGATTATTTTGAAGAAAAAAAGGGGTTACGTAGCAGTTTGACCCGGAAGTCACATCAAAAAGTCCTTCCTGCATCAAGACCGGCAAGATGGCAGCGGACACGCAGGTTTGTGTGCCTGGTTTTTAATGTTATACTATCTTCTTACAGAAAGGTATTTAAGTACGGTACAAACAAAATACGTGGTATTTTGAGCGCCGGTGTATAAACATATTCGTGTGTTTTGGCATCCACGCAGAAAACTAGGGCAAATGTCAACAACAGCTGGCGAGCAGGCTGTTAGCTCAGTGCTACGTAGCCTCAGTGTGACTTCATGAGGCTGAAGCTGCAGCAGCTAACGTTACCCACCCTGCACCGACACAGTGGGAGGAGGGCCCAAGCTTGATTTGAGTAACACCGTCTTGGAAACTAACTCGTCAGGGGTTTAAACGTATTGTCATCGACCTCAACTGGTCTGAATTTCCCAAGTTAGGCAGACGAGCCCTGTGTGTGATGAGTTAAGCCACGCCCTCCATGAGTAACGTTAGTAAATTGTTATTAGTTACCCTAAGTGATATGTTGGAAGTGAATGAAAAGACACATTTCATCACGTTTCTCAATCGTTTTTTGTAGAACTCTCTGTCCCACCCACAACAATTCCAGTCAAAACTGAAACATTATGGTAGGATTATAGTACTGATCATCAACAGTGTCCCAAAGATGAATTTTAAGAATAAATGCCAAGTGTTCCCTCGGGCCAGACTCTAAAATGTAAAGATAAGCCGCCCTTCCCTGTCCCATAAGATTATGAACTTAACTTTTGTGGTCCTGGACTGTTGTTCGGACTGACAAATGCTGCGATTTTTCAAAAAGTTTATTTTAGAGGGACAGATGCTGTAAAGAAAGACAAAACAGTTTTCTAATGCATTGCATCACAGCATTTATAGCTACTGCCAATTTCCAATGCCCCTCCCTAGAAGGGCTTTTAAAATTACAAATGTAAAGCAAAAAATCAAACATACTCGCATTGAAACATTCAATCATATACTTGTAAACCAACCCACCATCCCTCCCTCCACCTCCCATCCACTACCACCTCATCAGTGGAGTTATTGGATATTCTGGTGAAAGGTGCTCTTACCTTTGCTGATGAAGTCGAACGCCAGAGGAGAGGGAAGGGAGCCAGGGCGCTCGAGCGTCTCTGCCCGCACGGACTTCGCACACTGTTACCAAGAATATTTCTCTCCAACATGGCCTCACTGTGCAACAAACTAGATGAGAAAAACAGAGGCTCATCTTCTGTTTTATGCTTCACTGAGACAAACCTGGACTCCTGAGTTATGGTCCTCTTTGACTTTAATAAGGTCATCACAGCCATGACCTCCCAAAATACGCACAGTTTATTAAATGTCTGACCAGAGAGGAGAAAATTCTGGATCACTGTCAAATTCTGGATCACTGTCAGCAGTCACCTGTGCCTATCACGCCGCCCCCTGCACTGGGTCCACCTGATTCCTACATACAGCCAGTTATTTAAACTCTCTAAATGTGTTGTGAGGATATCAAAGCAGTGGTCCAGTGAAGCTGTAGAGGACCTTCGTCTGTGACAACAACTGCCCACCCCTCCCCATACCGCAACGACGACTCTCAGTCCTGTTGCCCTGACCTCTGTGGTAACAAAGTCTTTTGAGCGCCTTGTGTTGTCCTATCTCAAATCCACCACAGAACCACTCCTGGATCCCAGGGAACTGGGAAACGTGTCTGACTCCAGGGCCGTCAGCAGTGGTTCCCCTCAAGACTGCATTCTTTCCCCCTCTGCTCTTCTCGAGTCACCAGTTTGTCAATCTGCTGAAGTTTGCAGATGACACCACCCTCATTGGGCTCATCTCTAGTGGAGATGAGTCGGTCTACTGGTGAGACATTGACCATCTGGTGACCTGGTGCTGTCAGAACAAAACCTGCAGCTGACAGTGGAGATGGTTGTGATTTCAGAAAGAGCCCAGCCCCACCCTCCCCCATCACACTTGCCAAAGGCAGTGATGGTGCACTTCTACACCGCTGTCACTGAGTCCATCCTCACCTCCTCCATAACCATCTGGTACGCTGCTGCCACTGCCAGGGACAAGGGCAGTCTGTAGCACATCATTCACTCTGCAGAGAAGGTGATTGGCTGCAATCTGTCATCCCTCCAGGACTCCGAGGCGAGCAGGAAAGATTGTGGCCCATCCCTGCACACTCTGTCATTTAAATAACAGTCAATATTTTTTTTATAATACTTTCATATCTTTCCATTTATGATTCTTGACTTGCAGTGCTTGCTTTATCTTTCTTTATATTTTCTACTTACTGTGTTTATTGTTATACAGCAAAATACCAAAGCAAATTCTTGTATGTGTAAACCTACTTGGCAATCTGATTCTCCAGGTTTCAGACACACTGAAGAAATTTGCCATAAAAGTGACTACAGCCAGTGTGAAAGAGCGCAAGGAGATATTCGGGGAGCTGAAAAAGTGTATAAAGGGAAAAGGTGAGGGGTTTTTATGTTATTTCATTTTCTACACTGTGTTTAAAATAGTTGCTGTAACCGAGACTAAGGCTTCTTTAAAATGTCTCTTACAGAGTTACCAGAGCCTGCCATCAAAGGGCTGTGCAAGCTCTTTTGTCTCACTCCACACAGATATCGGTAGGTGTATGCGTTGACTTTTAGCCACAAGAAAATTGTACTTAACATAATGGAACCTCACAAAACGGTTTTCGTTTTAGGTAAACCTAGCTAAAACGAATATGGTCAAATTCAACAGTCCTGCATCAAATCCTACCTTCATGAAGGTTATAATGTTTAGATTTTGTGGAAACTGTTTTAGAGACATGTTGGTGCAACTGTATAGTCATTTCAGAGGACGTAGTTTGTGGCGCTGTTGAATTGTGTTGGATTATACACAGAGATGTTCTTGTTGATTAGCCTACCCTTTCAATGTTTCCCCTATAGTCAAAATTATGACCGCCGCTGCTTAAATGTCACACCAACCTTGGGGACAGTTGCAGCATGTCAAAAATGCATAAAGCACCTATTAACCTTTGCTTTTGTTCTCAATAAGAAAATTTAAGTTAAATTCTAAAGTAGAATTATCTTGAGGTAGCGCCCCAAACCCCCCACAAATACAAGTCTTCCACAAACCTAGGGAAAATGCTGAAATTCTGAAACCAATATTTGGTTGTCTATTATCCCATAGTCCTCTCCGCTCTTATGCTCAGCAGCTCCACTGCTGTTCTAGGGGAAATGCTGCCCTCAGTGATACAAATGAGGTGGAAAAAAATAATAGAAATGTCTGTGAGTGTATATCCTTTGTGTTTACATGGATCTGCGTGCTTCTCAGGGATGCTGCGTCGCGCAGAGAGCTCCTGTCTGTCATTGCCCAACTGGCTGACAGTCAGCCTGACATCCTGGTGACCAGCCTCCTCCACTCTCTGCTGAACAGTGGCGTCATCAGCAAAAATGGAGAGCCCAGGTACTGCTCTCAACTTTATATTGTAGTTTTATTATCTATACATTTTGAAGTTTACACCACTTTTTTCCTGTGGTTGTAAAGTCCTACATTTACAGATTTACTGAAGAGAACGGGTGCATCATCACATCACTGTCAGTGTTTGAAAGGCAGGCTAAGCAAGAATTATACAGTGTAGTGTATATCATAAGGATGAGAGTGCAGTACACTGCAAAAACAAAAATCTTAGTAAGATTAATTATCTTAATTGAAGGCTTTTATGTTAGACAATTTCACTTGTTTCAAGTGTTTTTGGCCTTAAGTAGCAAGTGAAATATTCTTGTTCTGTTGGCAGATAATTTTGCTTATTTTAAGTAATATTTCCCCCATTTTAATGCTTTTTTTTCTTGTTTTTGAGAGCTCAGTCTTTGCAGAGTAAGCAGAAACACTATATTATATACAACAAACTATATTCATACACAGTAACAGGTTTATTAGTAGACTAATAAACGATTAACTAACAAAAAAAAATTATTTATAGTTGGATAACAAGGGGAAATAAAAAAGAAACATTCAAAACAAATAACTGATTAAACAAAAAAGTGGGTCTAAGAAGAACCAGTGTTTGATTGTATATTATCCCGGTTGTTCCCTCCACTCTCTTATGTTTCCCTTATTATATTTGCAGTAAAAGCGCAGGCTCTGCTGCCTTCATCGGCTTGTCTTGGACCTGCCTTTTAGTCCCCAGTGTGTTTTCTGCCCCAGAGAAAAGAGAAGGACCCATCTGGAAGAAAATGGTCAGTAAAAGAGTATCTGTCTTTTTAAATTTCAAAATACAATGGTTTTATATGATTCTGAAATGGCTGTTTAGACACAGTCATACAGTTCTTACTGAGGTGTTAGATGTTACTCTCTTGGTTATCTGCCAAAGTGGCTGAATCTGTCACACAGAATATGCCCACACTTGACCAGGATCAATGTTTCATTTTTAGGTGGAGGTTCAGAGTCTTCTTGTGGCTGAGGTGGTGGGTGGAGCCAAGACCACGGCTCAGATGTCAAGCCTCAAGAAATTCAGTCACCTCTTGGAGGAAGTGAGTACAGTTCACTGAACACACTGGTAGTAAAAGACATCCTGATGATCAGACTGAATTTTGTTTTGTTTCACTTCATTAACTTTATTTAAATCACTAAACAAATCAGATCTGTGGGGGGCTGATACAGAGGTCTGGTACCAGGCTAGGGAGGATCCTGGAAAAATTGACTTTGCTAGTTAGTTTGAAGAGCATGTGCTGTAGATTTGTTACA